TCTTCTTCTAGGCATCGTCCTTTCTCATTTTTATTTTTGGCACTTGTGACTTTTGGAAAATAATGGGAGCAATGGCAATTTCATCTGCGATGAACTGCAGGTCGTTGCCATTATTTTCTATAGTTGCCTCATAACTTGAGGATGACATGCTTATTAATTTGATAAAAAACTGTATCCAGTAAAAATACGGAACGGTCTGTGTAAGCTCTGGGGTACAACTGTCAGTGATGCTGAATGAGCGAACTCCCACGCCAACCACAAGCTGAAACAAGTCAGGACATGTCGCTCAAGATACAAATACCAGTCAACCTTTTACTTCTTCTTGGAGGATAACCTCGCAAGTATAAGGTAATCATTATGAATATGAAAACAAGGATATGCTTATACCTTATGCTTTCGAGGATATGCTTCTCTTTTATGAATACGGCTCATTATGTGAGAAAAAACTCAATTCACTATTAAACAAAAATAAGATTTGAGGCATACTTTGTTTTGATGCTTTTCATCCTAGTTTTGATTTGTTGAATTTTATTTCCCTATGATCTATGGAGTACCAGCACATAGTGAAATTGTAAACTTAGCTATAGTTTATATACTTGGCTTTGATAAGATTACCTGACTGATTTCTGTGAAAACCCAAGACACCTTTGTAAGAGAACTGGTAGAGGTATGGGTTTTGCGAGTGTTTCACCAACTGCTCAGCGAACTTTAGCACAGATTTTACAAAATCATGATCACTCATAAGCTGAAAATAATCACCGAATTAAGTGAGCTTTCACATGAAAAGTAATAATACAGTCATACATATCACTGATCACAGATTTCATTGAATCACAGGAAATTAGATAACTTGACGGATTAAGATTCAGAAGCCAACAAGAAAAACTTAATAAATGTCTATTCGATGGTGAATTACGTACATTTATTCGTTTCTTGCAAATACAAAACTTCTTGTAGTTGTATCAAAGATAATATTGCAGTTGCATCACAAAAGTAGGTTGAACATTTCTCGGCCTGACAATGACAGACTGCGATGATTTTCAGTTGAAAAATGATTAGATTTTTTTACAGAATTCCCTTCGACTCGAACACACTTGATCCAACGTTTCCGACATAAGGATTCCTTCTCCGAAGTGGAAGACTGGTTGACAGTTGATCAAGAGTGTTGGAATAGCAGTTCCCCATAATTGTTGTTTCTGCCGTTTAGTGGTAACTAATCGCCATATAAAATCGGTCAGATTCATATTGAACTGGTCCAAACATTGCTGGGAAAGGCGCTTGCACATCCGCTTTTGATCAGCATTCAACAAATGCGGTATCCACCCTGTAGACCCTTCTCGTCCCCAGTTCCTTGAACAAGATGTCTTGAACTCATTGGAATTTCTATGTCATGTCAGGCCAAGGACTTTCCATTCCATCTTCGAATTGTATGAATTTTAGTAACATCTGGCAGAGTTGAAATAGTTTCGTGAAAATGTAATTTAGTTACACTAAATACTATGCAGGGTATTCGAAAAATAGACGGAGAGTGTGATTCCTTGCTATTTTTTTTTAATTGATATCGTAAAAAATATTAATTCGATTCTGTTGAAATTTGGCGATAGTATTTATTGTATGAAGAGGCTGATTTAGTCCTAAGTAGATAAAATTATTAGAACCAGTGACGTCCCGAGGGCATCTTGTGTCACGGGCCAAAATCAGGTAACCTTTTTTACTATTTATCACTTATCCGTAGTTTGAATTTCTCTTCATTGATAATAGAGTGCCCACTCCTAGGCCAAACCCTCTTCACTGATTTTCTTTTGACAAATTTAATAGTTTATTGATTGTATATTTCACTATTATATCTTTCTTTCTCAGCGATTCAGTATGGTGTTGACGATCAGCAAAAAACTGTAGTTTTTCTCCGTTAGTTGGTTTCCTATAAAACATACAAGATCTTCTTCAAGGCCACTCAAGATACCTTTTTCTAGGACGTTACATGTGCTTTTCCGTTGAGGTCGTGGTGCAGGGGTCGTTTCGTCATTTTCCAGACTCTGGGATATTAGGCCCCAAGCGCCAATTCATGGACTAGGACCCTTTTTTTTGTGTAACTTAAGTTTAGTCATTTTGGTATGGGTGCTACGTCTTCCATTCTTTTATGGGATTTTGACCCTCAGTGGTAAGTTCTTTTTATATACCTTCGGACCACGTGCCTAAGTGCGTGTCCTGATGACGTTCATTCAATATCTGCTTTCTTTTAGTCAATAGAAACAGAAGATAATCATCATCCTTTCTCCTCCAGTTGGTTGCATCTTGTTGCAGTTTTGCCAATTGGTGGAAGCCATCCCCTTGGAAAAAAACCTGATGTGAACAGATAAAATGTCATTCTAATTTATAATTTCATAGATCTTTATACATTTATTATTGCTTATTGAAATTCTTAGAGACTTCTTGATTTTATTTTACATTCTACGTATTCAAATATGGGGGCAGTGCCTACGTAGCACCTTCTATTGCATTGATCATGATTTTGATTTTTGAGCTGCCATAACCATAGAACAAGGGTATATTAGTTCAGTACATTTTTATCTTTTTTGCCTTTACTTTACTTTTCTTGTCCAAAAAAAATGTACATAGTTTTACTTCAAGTGCGATTGTTTTCAATGAGTAGTTTTATCTCAGACAAAGAGTAGAGTATATTTTTAAGCAGTCTTCCTCTCTCTAGGGTTTTTTTACTACCATAATGTTTGGCAACGAGGCAAGCAGCCCCTGCCCAGTGACGTGCCCACTACTGGCCACATTTTGACCAGAGTTGAGGACGTCTCGGCCGCGCCTGACAAAGAAGACCTACAGATAAGTTGAATATTTAGGCGCAAAATATCTGTAAATTCTTCGGGCGTATACTACGGTAGACGTTTTGCGGGGTTATCTCGATCGCACTTCAGTAGTGGTGCACATGTGCGTTTTTTTTATTAATCAATATATTGTGATTCATTTGATATCTTGATTTATTTCTCCTAAGAAGATTGAGTGAGATTGGACTGAACCCTCCACCTGAACAGTTCCAAGAAACATTATCTCTACCTTTTCATTACAGTGGACCCCCGATAATCCGGCCCCTGTCTAATCCGGCGCCCCTTGTCATCCGACATGCCTTTGAATGTTACATACATACATATTTGACAATCTTCGCTAATGAGGATCGCGCAGGTTTGAACAGGTTACAACTTGTACGCGCCACCGCTATCGTGCTCGACGCGTAAGCATTGTTTTACTTAGTTTGAATTCGACTACATGTGATAGCGGTACGGCCTAGCGTGCGTTCATTGTTTACTATTTATTCATTGTGTATTAAGTATAGTGTACCTAGTAATGTCATCACAAACTCAGAAGCGAAAGTACAAAACATTGACAATTAAAGAAAAATGTGATATTTTAGACCGCTTAAATCGCAATGAAACTTTCAGTAGTTTAGCAAGTGAATACGGAGTAGGCCGATCTACAATTTATGACATTAAAAGAAACCACGGGAAGATCAAGAAATTCGTGTCAACTACTGACTGTGGGCCAGGCAAGAGACAGCTGAACATCCAGAAGTGGAAGAAGTTTTGTACATCTGGTTTCTCCAGGAAAGAAATAAGCATGCACCAATTTCAGGACCCATGTTGGCCATGAAAGCTAAGTTTTTTTATAAGAAAATAACAAAAAAGATGATTTTGTGGCCAGCAAATGATGGCTAGAACGTTTTAAAAGTCGTCATGGCATACGTTTAATGACTATTACAGAAGAGAAACTTTCAAACGATGCCACCTGCATAGAGCCCTTTAAATTAAGATTTTTGCAAAAGGTGAACGATTTAAGTCTTGACCCGTCACAGGTGTACAATGCAGACGAATCAGAGCTTTTTTGGCATGTGATGCATAACAAAACTTTCATTTTTTGTAACGAAAAATCCGTACCTGGACGAAAAGTACGTAAAGAGCGTGTAACCATACTACCATGTGCTAAAGCTGCGGGCACACACGCGCTTAAGATGATGGTCATTGGGAAATCTAATAAACCACGGGCATTCAAAAACATTGATTTACCTGTACACTATTACGGACAAAAAAGTGCATGGACGACAAAAGACCTTTCCAAAAAGTGGTTTGATGAATGCTTCGTACCTGAAGTTAGAAAATGGTTAAAATATCATAATTTTCCTCAAAAAGCGTTGTTGCTTCTTAATAACGCTCCCGGTCATCCGTTTGAAGAAGAACTAACATCTGAGGATAAATGCATCACTGCGATGTTTCTTCCGCCAAATTGCACTGCACTGATTCAACCAATGGACCAGAATATTACTCAGTTTGTCAAGCAAGACTATAAGAAAAACCTACTTCTGAGAGCCGTATCAAAAGACCAACCAATAGAAAAAACATTAAAAGAATCTAATATTAAGACTTGGTTTTTGCTCTTTGTCAGTCGTGGAATGCGTTACCGTCATCAACTATTAAATCGTCTTGGAAAAAGTTTTGGCCAGATATAGTCACCACTCCTAGCAACGTTCCACAAATCAGTGTAACTTCGGAAGTTGTAGAACAAGTCGCTACTGAAACACAGATAAGTCCGGAAGATTTGGAAATCTGGTGCCGTGGAATGGATAAGGAGGAAAATGTTTTTCATGAAATGTCTGACGAAGAAATTATAAAAGAGGTTTCTAATTATACAACAAACAATCAGGAAAGTAACGACGACGTCATTGCAACTGCTCCACAAGTCACAGCACAAGACGCAATTAACGCTTTTGAGCTAGGTTTACAATGGGCTGAAGAGAATGGTACATCCTACAACAAACTTTTACTTTTGAGAAGACTGAGAAACAAAGCTCTGATCTCGCGTTATAACAACCTTAAACAAAACAAAAATTGATGAATATTTCCAAGCTTCATAATTTGATAAATTCAATAATGATTACATAAATGCGTAAATTGCTCTCTATGGGCTCTACCGTGTGAGGCCACAATTAGTTATTATGATGTTAAAATTTCGTTGGATTATACTATCTTTTTCTAATCTTATTTGTAAGTCTCTTTAGCCTACCGTTGTTACTATCGCCAAGCAAGCATCATTAATTATCTCTGTTGGTATGTGTGTATGGTAGTTTGCAGGATCTATATTTCTGATCAATTCCCTCGAATATAACTGGTAGTTCCTTTGGTACGCCAATGGACTTAGCGATGTCCCACTGAGCAAGATTGCGCTTCTGAACAAACCTAAAATGTTAATAAAAAAGCGATAATAGAGGAATGTTTCAGCAATCAGGGTGGTCCCAGAAGTATCCGTCTCAACGAACAAAACACAAAATTTTTATAAAAAAAATGTATTTATTTTTCAACATAATCTCCTTTGAGCTCTATACACTTTTCCCAGCGATGTTCAATAAGTTCGAGGCTGAGGCCTTTGAAATAAAAGTATTGTACCACATAACGATTACCCATTTTCTCCATTTTTACAAATTCACTGAAAACGTTCAGTATTAATGGCTGCCAAATAAATACTAAACAACGTGGCGTCTTCAAACTTGACACATATGCTTTATAGGTTGCATACTTTCTAATACAATGATATTTTTCAAACAACTATCGCCATCTCTAGGTCAGGCCGGGTACTTCTGGGACCACCCTCGTATGTTATAAGACAACAAATAACAGAAATTTCAAGAATATTGTTTTTTCTTCTTTATGTCAGTACTATCTATGTAGAATGGTCGGTTTCACAACCCGGTCGTTTTCTCAATATGCCCTATAACTTCACTGGTACAAAACTTAACTTATCCCATATCGTTGTACCTTTAGATAACGGACTCATAATCTGATAAGCACAAGAAGCAGAGCCAGCACTCTGACCAAAAATTGTAATTTTGGTTGGATCACCACCAAAATGATGGATGTACTGATTGGCCCACTTTAAGGCCAAATTCTGATCTTTCAATCCAGCGTTTCCAGGTACCAAATCATCTCCAGTCGAAAGGAAACCTGAAAGTTATTTTTGTTGTTAAATGTCTGAGTTTAAGTAATGACCAATAAAAAATAACCACAAACCACATGTTCTTACAGATATCAGAGGTATACCGGCTTTTTTCAACAGCTCAGCTGGCATTTCGTCAGCTCCAGTCAACTATCCATCTTTAAGCTCCTGATTGATAAATTTTACTTTTACATTCCGAAGAATATCGCTGATTCGAAAAAAATTTACGTCACAGAATAAGCAAAATTGAACCTAATCTGCCTCATCGCATTATGCAAAAAAAAACATGACTATCTGGGGGAGCTTCTGCCAGACGTAATATTGGAAAAAAGTCTGCACATCTGGTGCTTAATTAAAATAATAAAAACATTTATTTTTAGTCCAGGGAAAGGTCTGCAGGACCGGAACACGGATTTTATCTAGAAAAGTCTTGTGTATAGGTAATAACCTCTCAATTGATGCCTCAACAGTATTTCGTCCGATGAGCTTTAGTTTTTCAGATGTCGGAGAATGAAGAACGTCATTGTGATTTAATTACGCTCAAAATACTGTTTTTGAAGTCATGGCGTTGCGTATCTGGTTTATTTTAATGAGTTCTAGGGCAACCCTACATCTCATTTTTCATATAACCTTTTTCACGTTTTAGAATATAACTGACCTGACTAAGTAATACTAAAAAACGCCCGTTAGAGAAGAGTCATTGATCAGCCCTCCTCTCAACAACATCGAACATAGATAATGTAGTCGGGACTGCACTACCCCAAAGATGTGAGCAATACTCGAGGCTATTATGTATGCGTCGAAGAAAGAGACCAAACCAAAACAGTGATCATCGCGTGATTATTGCGTGATCAGTACACTGATATATTTCAAGAGAGATAACTGTTATTGGGCAGAATAGCTCGACCCCTTACACAGAACCAATGGCTAAACCGGATAATGGAGTGGGAGACCGTGCATGCAGTCTGGCCCCAGTTGCCGGCTGTAAATGCTATAGAATATATATATATATATATATATATATATATATATGTGAAAAGTCGAAATTTGGGGAGATATGTAAGTTCTCCAATTCCCATTAATTAAAATATAGTTTATTCAACTGCCTCTGGTCGGTTTAACAATTTCTTACATAACATTCTGAAAATCACATCATCTGAAGTGATTTGGCAACGTTTGGCACACGCCCACAATTCGTTCCATCTTTCAACACAGACATTGACAACCTTCGGCCTTCTGTCAAAGGTTCATCTCACTCATTATTCCATGACCACCATTTTGTGCAATCATCAAGTGGCTTCACGACGTAATGCTCTAATGTTTTTTAAATAATTTTTAATCTGTTTTTAACTTGTCTTGTCATATTTTATATAATTTTTGACCATTGTACCATGTATCCAGCTCTCACCATGTTACTGGACGTTTCCCTCATCCTATACGTAAACAACAACAAGATCGTCACATACTACTGTAAGTTGAGTCAATTTAAATTCATTTTACACTTTTGTTGCTACTGTTATCATTGTAATTGCAGCTCCTGATGATGATGGCAAAGTCCATTGAAAGCTAGAGAGAATTAAAAAAAGTATAAGGAGTCCTCTTTGCTTAAATTTTGTCGAAGTACCCAACAAAAGGCGGAAGCTTTAATTTTTCACCTAACTGGTCTAGACGACAATGACCACGTCTTAAGTTATATATATATATATATATATATATATAGCTTTAATTTTTCACCTATATATATACAGTACAGAGTTGGCATCAGATTTATACTGGTATTACAGTGTGCTTATTAGATTTGTCAGTTTATATTTGTAGAACTCAAAATGTCGCATACGGATACAGCTGATGAAGTTGTTGATATTAGCTGCACACCACCTAAAAAAGAGCTAAAAGGCTTCATTTTCGCGTTAGCGTATCGTATATATTATTATGTATTCAAATCATTTTTCTTTCAACTCCACCTAGATATTCATTTTTTAGTTTAATATTAAAATTAACTGTTTGCACACTGACGTCAATGTTCAAGCGGTGATTAGGTATTCTTGTATCCATATGCAATTATCGTTTTAATGTGTCAAGACATTTTTTAAAAACCTGCTTTATAAATGCGTCTTACGACACATTTCGAGAATAATTTCTTGATGAAACACTTCTACTAAAAGCAACAATAGACAAGTGTTTTCTTTATGGTCATGACAGTTAAATTAAAAAAATACATTAATCCCAACCTTATGTTTGGACCCTATACATGCCTGCAATAACTTTTTATTCTCAGTTCGGCCCTATAACGTGCTCGGCGTTCTGGAGCGCGATCACGTGGAGTATACGTGAATATGTTTTGGTTTGGTGTCTTTCTTCGATGGTTACATAATAGGTCTTATCCAGGCTTGGGTGTATAGACATTCACAAATAAGCAATCTTCACTTTGATTGGGAGGCGTATAACTCATCTGATTGCATATGTTGCCGAATTTCGTCGCATCCCAGATTCCTTCCCATTTCTTCTTTGGGACTGGTGCCTAAAAACCAGATGTGCATAAAGGCGAATCAAAAAAGCTCCACGTAGCAACGTCACTCATTTTTGAGCTTTCTTACAGTGCTTTTCAAAAAGGAAACCCTCTAATTAAGGAGTTAAGTGGCAGAGTAGCATTATGCTAAACTTCACCCCCTAAATAAAGACGATTTTTTATTATTATTATTTATCTCTTGAACGGACCAAATTAGAAGGATGGATAGATTAATGTATGGATATTATATTTTAGCATGAAAGTAATAAAAGTCAATCCTTGAATATAAAACCACCATCCCCAAAAATAGCGAATCGGCATGATGTCAAAACGAGCGTAGTTTTTTATATCAATCTCTTCTTCTCTTGGAGGCGTCTACTGAAATATGTAATAAAATATGAAACATTCTATTAAAAAAGTGTAAAATCGGCCATTTGTATTAATCAGAATATTTTATTGCTCATTTAGAGAGACCCTTACAAAAGGAAATTATTGATATAACATACTATGAAGTTTTGACGATTATTTGTTGAGCTATAAGCGATTCAATGTATACTAAGTGACATATAAATCCGAACACCCAGTTTAAATGGTTTTATTTTAATAAAATTTTGTATAAGTACTTAATGAAGCATAATAAGTAAATGATAAAAATTTCAAAATGATTGCACTGCTTTAAAGCCCTCTGACCTTTAATAATGTGTGGACGCACCCTGATGTGCTACGCATTCTCCAACGCGCCTAGGCATGCTTCTGATCAGGTGGTCAATGTCCTCCTGTGGTATCTCATTCCAGGCAACCACTAACTCCTCTCGAAGTGCTTCTAGAGTCTGAGGAGGACGTTGCAAATTGAGCAATCTACTACCCATCATATCCCACACGTGCTCAATTGGGGATAAGTCGGGAGATCTTGCTGGCGATGGTAACAATGTGACATCATTATGTTGAGAGAAGTCTATTGTGACTCTTGCAACATGTGGTCGGGCATTATCTTGTTGGAAAGTTGGATCTGCCAGGGTGTCAAGATAAGGTTCTAGAACTTCGTGGATATAACGCTGCGCATTCATGTTACCTCTGATGAAGATTAAAGGTGACCTGGAACCATAAGCTATAGCACCCCAAACCATAACTCCAACAGTGTGATGAACATGTCTTTCAACAAAAAACTGTGGATTCCTCCTTTCACCACGTCGCCTTCTAACCCTGGCACGACCATCGTGCATGCCTAAACAAAATCGAGACTCGTCACTAAAGACAATACTGTTCCATTCCTGATCCCAGAGTGACCGTTGTCTGCACCACTCAAGGCGATTACGTCGGTGTTCTCGAGTTAAAGGGAGGACCCAGTGTGGCCGGTATGAAAACAAGCCAAAACTTCTCATTCGTCGGTAAACACTTCGCATGCCAATAGGTCTTCCGTGTTCTGCAAACCATTCATTTGCAATGGACCTGGTAGTGGAGAAACGGACCCTCAAGGCCAATAATCTTAGGCGGCGATCTTCACGGTCTGTTGTTCTACGGCGGCGTCCAGTGCCCCTTGCTCTTTGCGTACGGCCTTCTCGAAGCCATGCCCGACAACACCTAACCACAGTGTCTACACGTCTTTGCACTGTAACTGCAATTGCCCGAAAAGAAAGTCCAGCTTCCCGAAGTCCCACTATACGGCCCCTATCAAACTCACTAAGTTGACGAAATCGTACAGGAACCGCACTCTAGGCATCGTAACCGATCGTAAAGGATGTCAAGAACCAAAATCCGCCAACGATGATTCTTTACTGCGGCTGAAATATTCATTTTTAGAGCGTTAGTGAATTAAAAAAAAGCAGTATAAAAACCGGAATGTCCAACTGATAAGGCTGAAAATTTTTTCACTTTTTATTTACAGTAAGATAAATACATTCAACACTTTTTATAAAATTAAATTAAAATAAAACCATTTAAACTGGCTGTTCGGATTTATATGTCTCTTAGTATATAAAAACGCTCAACTTTGAAAAGTGCCAAATTTGGAAGATAGTGTTTTTATATTCTGGAACTTCCACTTTGACGCTAAAACATAGTATTCATGCTTGAATTTCATCGACCGCAATTTCAGCTTTCTAGCTTGATTTGTTCTAAAAAGAAGTGGGGGACATTTTTGAAATGCACTGTAGGATTATGCTGTTCTTGAGTGTGTGAAAAATTGCTGAGCAACGCAACAAAAACGACAAGCTTTGGCAGCAAGCCAGTCCGCCATTTTAAAAGATAGTTATTTTATATCCTAGGTCTACAAATTACTTATAAGGAGCTTTAAAGTTAGGCACAACACGACCTCTCATTCCACTTAGAGAAAATGTTCTGTAATGGCGCACTCAGTCATTTTTGAACATTTATGCTAAAATATAATATAACCCTGCATTTCAGCTTGCTGACCTGGCCCGTCCAAAAATAATTCGGAAGTGGTGACCTTTTTGAACAGCGCTGTATAAGATTGACCGATCGAAAATAAAGACGGTTCATACTGAGCTTACCTGGAATCTCAAATCGCCGACTGGTTTCTCAGCATACGGTATTCCTTGGAAAGAGTAGAATATTACCCCTTTAGCGGTAGACTTTACTAATCCCTTTACCGTACCAACTGGCAGTTGCACTGTTACATCTTCTGCCTAAAAATTTCAGGTCATGATCTATCTTAACCCCTGAAGTGGTAATGACGTATATATTCGCCAACATATTTTTTATCCATGTTGATTATGACGGATATATACGCCAAGAATATTTTATTGAGGCCGTGCATGGCTATCACGAATACGTTCGCCTGTGATGATTCCACCGTACATATTATAAGAAATAAGAAACAATTATTACTTGTGTTTGTGATACCGGAAACACCAAAAGTTGCTGTCTGCCGCCATTTGATTTCGGTGTAAGGTAGCAGTCATTATTGCGTGGTTTTATATACCGGCTGTTTCCTGCTTGTTTGTGTTCAAACGTTAAAAGTACTTTTGATAATGGCTAGTTCTGATGTTGAAATGACTACAGATGATTCCAGTGATGATGAGAGTCAGTGCACTAGTTCTGACGAATCAGATGACGATTCTAATTTCAACGAGGATTTTGAAGAGAGTGATACCGAAAGTCAACAAGAACCTGATCATGATCCAAGTTTTGAAATTCCCTGGACAGAGAACGGGATTCCAAGGCCAGCGTTCCATTTTACGTCAAACAGTGGTGTGCAAGTAAACAATTTAAAGGATATAATGCGAATTTTTGAATATTTTTTAGATGATGATCTAATAGATATAATAATCAGAGAAACAAACAGATATGCATCGCAGTATACGAGGGATGTCTTTTAAGTTTTGCATATGGAAATAAAACAAGACGGTAGGTAGTTTTAAATGACTTTATTGTTTTTCGAAGTATTCTCCAATAAGATTAATACACATCTGCATGCGCTCGAACCAATTTTCGAAGCACTTATTCCACTCGTTTGCTGGCAGATCCAAAACGGCATTTTTGAATGCGTCAACTGCTTCTTCTGGTGACTGGAATCTTTAACCACGAATTCTGTTTTTAATTTTCGGGAAAGTAAAGAAATCGTTAGGACTTAGATCGGGACTATATGGAGGATGGTCCAATAATTCCACGTTTTCTTCCGTTAAATACTGCCTTGTTTTTTGGACTGTGTGCGAGCTTGCATTATCTTGGTGGAGGATGATTCTTCTTTCGGGGTTGATTTTTTGTAGCTCGGTGATGACTTTTGGAAAACAAATGGTGGTATACCAATTCGCAGTAACAGTTCTTTGCTCATTAAGAGGAATTGTTGCAATATGACCCGCATTTGACACAAATGTCGCGACCATCTTTTTCGAAACACTTTCGAGAACGGACGACTTTTGTTAGCTTTTATTCACCTTGGAACACCCAAACAGCCGACTGTCGTTTATTTTCTGGTTCATAACAGTAAATCCACGATTCATCACCCCTAACAATGCTGTACACATTTTTTGGGTTTACGGAATTGAAACGGTCAAACGTTTTTTCACACCAATTAACCCTGGCTGCTTTCTGCTCTTCAGTCAACAGGTGGGGTATCCAACGAGAAACTAATTTTCTTACTCCTAATTCTTCGTGTAAAATTTTTTGAATTGAGGTCTTTGAGATCTTTAGGGACGCCTCAATCTCGCGATATGTCACATGTCTATCTTCAATGATGAGTTTGCGCACAGCATCGACGTTTTCCTGGGTGACTGCCACCCTGGGATCGTCGCTAAGACTCACCCGTCCACGTTTGAATTCTCCATATCAACGGGAAATTGTCGACTGATATGGTGCTTCGTTGCCTAAAACAGACAGTAACTCAGCAAGGCATTCTTTTGCGATAATTGTCTCTGAAAGTTGTAATAAATTATGGCGCACAAAATGTTCTCGGTTGAGTTCCATTTTGCTAATGACTTGGTGACACTTAAAAATTCGCTGTAGTAAGAATATTGCACGTATTGTTGTGAAACTTTGAATTTAAGTTTACTAAAGAGTGAGGTTAAGATTCAGTACTGATGTTCGATCCGCGCGGCGTACTATGTTTCTATATGCAAAACTTAAAAGACATCCCTCGTATTTCTTCGAATCGAGATAACCTCAAGCCAAATTCCCGAGCTAAAAAATGGTTTGATAGTAATGAAATTAGGACCCTTATCGAGTTGCTAATACTACAGAGCATCTGTCCTAAGCCTCAGTACAAAATATACTTTTCACGACGAGAGAGCATCGAGACTCCTTTTTTCTCTAAAGTTATGATTTCATTTGTTGCTAAAGTTTTTAAACTTTGTAGATAATTCTACTATAAATTCACATACAAAAACCTCAAAACTGATAAAAGTTTTACCAGTTTTGGATTTGATGAAAAAAAAAGTATATGTCAGCTTATATATCAGAACAAAACATTGCCATAGATGAGTCCTTGACAGGATGGAAAGGCAGACTTGCTTGGAAACAGTACATACCTGTACCTCGAAAAGGAAACGATTTGGCATGAAAGTTTTTGCCTTATGTGAAAGTCGCAATGATTACATGTACAACTGTACAGATACTGAATACAATGCTTTGTAAATAAATGAACCACTTACTTCGAGGGTAGTGTTGACATTGATTCATCCTCTTTTAGATAAGGGATACCGCCTGTTTTTAGATAATTCTTATACAAGCATAGACCTGTGCGACAAACTAGTAAAAAGAAGGACGGATAGCGTTGGCACAATGAGAATAAATAGAAAAGGAATACCACGGGAATTAAAAGTAAAATTGCAGAGAGGAGAAATTGTAGCGCGTTTTAGAAAAAACTCATGATTCAGAAATAGGGCGACAAGAGAGACGTCCTTATGATAAGCACAGTCCACAATGACAGCATGAAGAAAATTGCAGCAAGGAGTGGGGACATTGAAAAGCCATCTTGCGTAATCGATAACAATGCCAGCAGGGGTGGTGTTGATTTATCTGACAATTACCTCCACTTTTATGGAATTGCTCGTACTAGAGTTAAAAAATACTGCATGAAGATGTTTCTCCATTTTTTAAGTGTCACTACGTTGAATGCCTTTCAAATTTGTTAGAAGAATGGCGGAAAGCTAAAAAGACTGAACTTTTTACTGGAGCTGGGTGAGAAGATAGTGGATAAATACAGAAAAATAGAACGTCTAGAACGCCAATGCCCACAAGATTGATTGACATTTTCGATCAATAATACCACCAACAACAGAAGCAAAACCGACAAAAAGTCAAAAACTTATCACTCTACGTTTATCTTATTGCGTTTTTCTTTACTTCGGATGCGTTGTATGTGCTGAAAGAAAGCAGCGAAAAGAGAGTCGTTATTGGTGCCTAGAGTGTCGTACTGGTCTCTGTCCTGCACCTTGTTTTGGGATATACAGGTAACATACGAAAGAATAATTTTTTCTACTAAATAGTAGTAGTAGTCGGCTGTATTTTGTTTTTAAATAAATAAGTTTCAAGTAATTTTATGTACATTACTTGTTTAAAAACAATAGGTACTAACCATGGTGGCTTTTCGTACATGTACGCATTTCATTTAAAGTAACCCAATTCACGTGACTTTGACGAATATGTACGCCTGCGCTTCTATTATCAGTGGCAAAGACGAATATGTACGCAAGCGGTAAAATGACGTGCCACCTGAAAAGTCATCGCTGAAAGCAGCTACGGCCACTTAAGGCGGCTCCGACGCAGTGAGTTTCAGGCCATTTACAAGGGTTCAGCTGCTTCGAAACTGACACTCCATTTTTCAATATTTTTGAATGAAATTCATATAGTATGTTGAGAAGATAATTGCCCAGGGTGCTGTAGGAGCACTTTTTGAAATTTTGTTTTTGCACAAGGTTTATGATGGGTTGAAGTGCGCACTTTTTCTGTTCAACTTCGCGATTTTTTTGAAAAGAACCTAATGAAAAAAATGAAAAAGTGACTCTATAGTACCCTGTGGGGTTTTGTTTTCAGCACTTTGTGAAAATTTAATCCAAAAATATCAGAAATTAGAGCGTCAATTTCGAAGCGCGCAAACCTCTACAAATCGTATTTTGGACGACCTTTGTCTGCTGTTTCGTACTGCCAAACCAAGCGTTGCGGCGCAATGTACGGACTTAGAAAGGACGTATTCAGATAATTTGGTGGCCCTATTTCATATAATATCGCGTAGATAAGTCGTTCTGCAAATAGGTACTCATAATCGCGATCGCTGATACTCCTCGATTTTAAAGCCGTTTTACTTCCCACGTCATTGGCGAGGAAGTATTGTAATCGCAAAAAATTTCTAAAATTAGATGTTATCTTTTTTTAAGTCATATGACATCTACATCACGAAAAACTGTATCACTCATCGTCAACTTTGATTTAACTCTGAGCTCATAGATGATAGCGCTGCCTATGCGGTCAGCTTGATGTAGGAAAAACTTCGCGCGCGCTTAAGCTGTGAGCAAATTTGATAAAAAATACTTTTTGATGGACCAGTGGCGGATTTAAGGAAAAGGACCCGGTTGGCAATATGCACTGAAGGGGTCCAGTGGTATGATCCGGAACAGACGGCAAATAGTGCGCACTATAACCGTTTTGCGAATAACATAAATTACTGCAATTATTGACAAATAAAATACTGCAATGGAAACTTTGAAAGTTGCATGATAACACAGAAATTAATAACAAAACTTAATGCGTAATGTCATGTTAGTGCAATCATACATTAGCCTAGTTTTTGCATTTAATAGTACGCACGGGCACGGGACAGGTTATAATGCGTAATAATTTTTTGAGGTAAATTAAACTTGATGATTCACCAGCAAACTTCTTGTGCATAATAGAGTTTAAAAGTAATGACGGATGCTACCGATAAGTAAAGGGCGTCGAGTCAAATTTGGAGTGCACGCTATTTATAGAACTTGCATAAATTATAATTAAGAAAAAAACAAGTATATTCGATAGTTGTTGTCATGTGATTAATATTTCATTGAATACAAACTTGGTGAACAACACTAAAATACGTTAAATAACGTGCATTACTACAGGATATATACTGGGCACTATTTGCGAAAGTAATATTCACATTTATCGCTATTTGCATATTAATGACGGCAACTGAGAATAAAAAAATTAGAAAGTCCTGCACAAGTGACCGAAACAAGCTCATAGATAGTGCAAAAAGTTTTTTAATAGTAACTTGATGCAAAAAGTTAATCAGCTAATTCAGCTGTTTCAATATTCATGCGGATATAAAATTTTTCGATAACGTAAAATCCAATCTAAATTGTTCAGATAAAATTCGAACTACAAGGTTTGCTGACAATTATGATGTCGCATATTAACAGGGGCTTAAAATTATATGCATAATAGTAGCTGCTGCGCACTGTTACCTCTGTTTTTTTACTAAATGTCTATATAACCTGGATCAAGTAGAGACTGTGAGATCAAACATTTTTTATTCAATACAAAATAACAGTGTTATCCTAATTCGAATCCGCGTCTTACTTTTCGTTCAGCAAAAACTTCCATCGCAGAATCCAAATTGAGTGTATTAGCTACTGAACTTTCGATATAGAGTTTAGAGAAGTTGTTGAGTGTGTCTTTAGCCAAACAAGCTCGACGGTATTCTTTAATAATTTTCAAAGAGCTCATGACACGTTTAGCACAAGCAGAACCGATAGGCAAAGTGAAAAACAATCTGAATAAACTGCAGCTCTCTGGAAAAATGTCTACAAAATTGTTTGCAATCATGAACTTAAAATAATCTGGCGGCCTGTCGTTAGTAAAATTACGAATTACGAAATCCTTCAGTACGTTCATTCAATTCGCTACTCATTGAATCCAAAAGTTCGCAGTAATTTATTCGATGTTTTTCGTGTGTTTCCAGTGGCGAGTCAGCAGCTTTTTCGTCAAAAATTTTTTTGATTTTCCTCTTTCTGGCAGTGGGATAACCAGGATTTTCCCATTCCATCTCTTCCCATTTATTCTTAGCCTTCAGAACAAAATTATCGTAAGTGCTTTCGCTCCTCAAATCTTTTAATTTTTTTATGCTGCTGAAATGCACCTTTGAGCCATCATCAAGTCTATTTCTTTCTCTTGCATTTGAGCTTGCACGGTATTCATTACGCTCAATACTGAGTGCCACCATAAGAAATTGAAAAAAAAGGTCCAGTTCATGGAGGAAAGGAGAGATCTTGCATTCATTATATCTTCGCCAGAAGCTCCCACTCTTGAAATTTCATCTTCTATACAATTGATAATACATTCAAAAAATTTCTTCCACGATATTATCACGAAGAAAATAGATATGTCATTAAATAAAAAAACGCACAGTATTGTGAAAGTTTATGGTTATAAGCATTGAAGACGTGAAAAGACTGTAATAGACGCATTAGAGTCTGTATTAGACTAAAAGAGGCTGATTATATATATCACTGTAAGCACAAAATGAAAAAATAACCCCCCACTTCTTGAAAAATAAAAGGGTCATTCGGTAATTTTTTTAGAAATTAAATAGTCATTATTCAAAAAATTTCTTAAGAAATGAAAGGGAAATTTTCTTATTCAAACTGAATGCTAACGCGCTGTTTCATAAACATTACGCAAAAGGTCATTAAAAGAAAATAATAAAATAGTCTGATTTCTTGTTATCAATTTTACATTCAGAAGCGCTGAACAATATAGACACTAGAGCTGATTTTTGGGGCCCTGTGACCACCCTTCCTTGGGGGGCCCAGGCGGCAATGTCCATTTTTCCAATACTTAAATCCGCCACTGTGACGGACAAACCCACAAAAAAGTTTCGGGATTCGAAGGAGATGGTAAGTATTAATGTTAATCGATTCGCAGAAAGACCAACAAGAAGTAAAAATTTTGTTATTCAACAATAAATTGTTAATTTTTAAATTAGATTTAATATTTTAATTACTTTTAGACTGTACCCTAAGGGTACAAGGGTAGGGTTGTCATCTGCCATCCGTCCGCCAGTCAAGTTTTTAATTTTTATGTCAGAGGCACTGGATCCGCCGTTGCGTCGGACAACAAACCACCACCGTACTTGAGCTTCTTTGCACCCTAATGGCCATTGTACAATGTAGTGTACAATGATCGAATGCCTAAAGCATAACTATCCCTAACTTAAAAATCACAATAACCATTTTATCTATATGGTTGAAAAGATGACTCTAACCTAAACAAACATATAGCTAAAATTTTTTTAATGAATTAATTATTAGTAGGTGTTCTTTTTCTATCTCACTTTGTATATTCCCAAATTCCATATCTGTGGTATATACTTTTCTGTTAATGATCAAATTGAAATTATATATCGCAAATTAGATATTTCGGTCGAGAGCTTCCGTTCATACAAAAACACTTGAAAATAGTAATATCAGTGAGGTATACGGTATACTTGTATTTTTTAACCCTCAAGCTACGTTTCCACTTCAATAAAACACGCCAACATGTACCAGAAACAAAAACGGTTTGCAGCATTTAACGGCACAGACGCCGGAGACTTCAAGTGAATGTGGTGCGCAACATCAGCTGGTACGTTACAGCCGTTTGAATGTTTTCGACTGTCCCTAAATGAGTTCCCTTGAGGTGATTTTTCAACTTCCAGAAGAGAAGAAAATCACAACGACACAAGTCAATAAGGAGTCTGTGAAGCCACAGGAATATTTTTACTAGCCAAAAACTCGTTTATTGACATTGATGTGTGACAATGAGCATTAGAGGGATGCAACACCCATTTGTTCTGACTCTGACTGTAAACCGACGATCTGTTGATATTTTCATCGGTTCTTGAAGATGATGGCCTTACGGTTCGAGATTCATCTCCAATCGACTCTCTACCTTCTGAAAATGCCTTAAACCACCGAAAAACCTGAGCACTTGGCAAAACACTTACTCCGTAGGCAAGAGTTTCTGTTGCAGAACGTAGCTCGAAATTTATGTCAATCATTTTTTGAACACATTAAAAATTGCTACGGACAGCCAAATGGCTCGAGCGGGTTCAAACTTGTATTCAAGGCAGATCACATGTTCCCCTATCTCCCCTCCGAGCCCGGCGCCTCCACTGATGCCAGATGGAACGCTATGTTGCCAGACTCCTCACAGACGTATGCTGGCCTTGAGAATTTGGGCTTACCACCTGGGCACTTTTCATGAATACATAGAATCTGATTGGGATGCCCATTCACTCTCTTACGCTGAATCCGTCCGTCGACCAATCAGCGTCAGGCTGTCCGGTCTCGCTATCACGCCACAATTTTGTGATAGTGTGTTCACTTTCTGGTTTGACAATGTTCACGTTGTCTCATTAACGAGACATTAGGATATACTCAACTATATAACTTAGAAGTGTATAATCTAAACAGTATTCCATTTAGTTTGAGATGGCAATCTCAATTTCTTCAAAATCGTCTACATGACAAACACAAGGAAATAATAAAACCGGAAAAATAAGCATCTTAATGTTAACAAAAATGTTTATCAAATACGTTTTTATAATATTTTCTCAAAAACAAAATGGCAGTCAAGTAGATTGACTCTATACCTTCCATGCCTTCAAAACAACTTTTAGCACAATTTTCCATGGACTGCAATGGCATAAAAAAGACGTAGGTTTTGTCAGAAGCATTGGTGCACTATTTGGGTTTTTGGTATACATTTTTTTTTGTCAACAATGTTTGATACCTGATAATATGTATATACTGTATGTACTATATAATATTACCTCGCGAAATCAACCCACCAATTGTTCACTTTGCCAGGTTTTCCCCTGTGTCTTTTAAGGATGTTAAAACATGCAAAATTAAATCATGTGGCATGTCAAAAATCAATATTTAAATGTAATTTTCAATAATAAACAATAAAAGATAAGACTAATATGATTCTTTTGTTTACGTTGTATACCACTAACACTACTAAAACAACGTAAGTCTAAGCCCGTTTTTCTGGCTTTTTACAAATATATCATTGTTATTATTATTAATGAGCTGTGAAGGTTATTCGGAAATTCAATCTTTCGGAAGCCACATACTATATTAAGCCCAAAAAGTACTGGTTTATTTGTCAAAGGCACAATTTTTATTGAAAAAATCAAATTGTGTGATTTGTTTTTGCAAGGGCTGGTTCAATCTTACAAAGCTCTTACCAAAACAGCTGTACTCAGAAACAGCACCAAGAAAAATCCCAATTTCGTCATTGCTCAGGTAGTCCAGTATAGCTCCCTAGAATATATGCACTGGTACTAAGGTTTCGTTAGTACTCGAAGTCAATATTATCTAATCATTACAAAATAGATATGCCAAAAGATTGTTCACGCACAGCGCTCGAGATTTTACGGGAATGATTCAACAGAAACACACAAATTCGTCCGTTCAAGTTTTATAATGATGCTTTGATTAGAAGTACTCATTTGCAGAATGACTACAAATTATGTTCATCAATGGAAACGTTCTGAAGGTGAATTTGCAATTGCGGCATGACTGACTGGTCCTCAAAAAATGTATATATCAATAACAAGCATCTTTTTTATACCGAAACAGCTGAATAAACCTAAATACCAGCTTTGTGATATCCGTTTTTTTTCTTGAACTACCCAAGATTAGAAGAACTGGGAATAGCCTCCTCGGGTAGATTGTTACACAATCTCGTTTCCTTAGGGATAAAGGAGTGGTCGTATGGACCAGTTCTGGATGTACAGAGTTCTGTCTGGCAGGCACATCGCGCGGCGGTATCATGGAGGAGAGGTCTGAGGAGCAAAACCTGTCGGCATAGCTGTAGAAGAGTGCTAGAGAACTGACAGAAGAATTCGGAAAAACAATTTCGCAGTTACATGAAATGTATATTAAGGTGGTCGATTTTTGCTTAACGTATTCTACCCGAAGGAACCTGAAAGATCCTATCTCAATCTATGAGACACTGGCAGAGTTCAAAAATCTATTTTAACAAGCGTAAGAATGTTATATTTTGCTGCTGTCCCATTAGATGGCGCTAGAATCTTCAATCCCTTTTCGGCGTCACTCGAATGCCTATTTTATTTATGATTTCTTGTACAATAATAGGCGAATCACCATATATTTTGTCGGTCAGGCGTCACTCAGTGTTAGGTCCTCGAGTAACAGCTGCACTGATTTGAGAATGCCAACAAGAACTGAACGCACTGGCGGAACACAGCAAAATGTAACTTTCGGACGGCTTCACCAAAGGAAGGAATGCCTGTTTCAAGAGGAATACCTACGTTAATAATCAATGCCTGAAGATACCCGATAAAGTACGCATTAGAGAGTTACCAAAAAAGGGGTTATCTATGAGACAGTAACGGAACCAAACCCTCGAACTCTTTTCATAGTAGATTTCTAAATATATTCTGCTATTGTGTCATAGTTGGCGTTAGTATTCGTTCAGCACAAGATTTCCGTAATACGTAATCACTTTCCTTTAAAGCATGGACTGGTTAGATTTTATAAGGATGAAGACCCATTTTTTTCTTCATTATGCCATGGAGTGTTGACCTAGTGATTCCCAAAGCAGCCGAGAGAACGCCAAGGATTTGCAATGCCCGAATCACTTATTCGACGCACATTTTCTTCGCTTGATACAGTAGATGTGGGTTGACTAAGGGTAGAGCTTGTTTCACTGAACCTCTTAATCCACTTCTTCAAAAGCTTCTTACTTGGGGCGTCTCTTGATCAGCGAATGTATCGTGTACAAAATTTCCGAAGGTCCGCTGCATATGAATCACCACTCTTAAAGTAAGCCTCGATAGCTAAAACACATTACGCTCCGGGCCAACGTTCCATTGCGATTATTTAACCCGCACGCCGATCAAGACTTAATCGCGTACACGGTTGCCGCATAATTCAAATTTGGAATGTGCACTTTCCCACTTTACACCCTGTATAAAAACGGAAGTGTGTCTTTTAATTTTGTAGGTACCTTGTGTAAGATTCATATATTTTCTTACTCAGTTTCTTTCTTTAAGTTTCCATGAAAAAACAATAAAAATCAAAGATTTTTTTTTTATTATACAATTAATTTGTCCAACCTCGCTGTGACACTGTGTATCAAATGTTGTTTTACATTTTATTCAATCTAGTCAAGTATTTTTAATTTTTTATATATTTTTATAACTTAAGTATTCAAAACAGCGATATTCGAACACTTTGTCTTTGTATACAAATCTTGAGTATATGATATAATAAAGTGTTCAGGATTCGTATTAGAATACCGTTCAGTATTCGACCCAAGTTTGGCGGGCAGAGAATTTTTTTAACCTCCTGAAATCATCTATGCGAAAAAACTCGATTTTCTTTCAGACTGTTTAATCCCGGCAATTCCAAGCAATCCTTGTCCACCTTTTGCTTCCCCGACTTTTCCGCGTCTTTTATATTATAAAAAACATTGACTTGGTGCGCAAGAGGATGTCGTTTTCCAAAAATAAAAGAACCATTTTACAAAACAATATATTGCTCTAACTTACATCATACAAAAAAAACTGTATTTACACATACAAAAGAAATCAACGCTTAAAATAATGTACCGATGCGGAACATACAGATCTAAAATAAATAACTAGCAGTTTTCAGTAATAATATACAAAATAGGCGCAAATTAACTTTTTTTAACGAACCATAAAGAAAACAATTTTTATACTATAAACAAGCATGGAAACTCACATTTCTAATGTATAAAAATACAAATTTTGCTTCTATGCAAAACAGAGCTACAGAAGATTGCATTAAGACACATAATTAATTCCATCACAACTATAAGTCATTGTACAAAATAATGCACATATCGTCAAACTGCGATTAGTACTTTAGATGCAGCCTTGATCAAAAGCATTAGGGCAAATATATAAAGTGACAATCTTTTTCAGAATTAACCTTCGTTAACCTACTCGTCAATATTAAAACACGATATTTTTTTAAATACAGGTAGTTCCTTAATCGCATGCTTATATTTAAAAAAATGAGTCGTGGGCCCCTTTTAAGAAAAAAATTCACATGACCGTATGTCCTAAACGTCTTGACCTTTGAGAAATAGGGCGGTAAAGTTTTCGGAAAAAAGTCTGTATATCGAAGGTTAAGACATTTAGGACATATATTCATATGATTTTGTTCCAAGAACCACCTCCTTAAATATTAGCATGTCAGTAAGGAACACGACTTTCTTCATTTAAAGAAAAATTTTATCATGCGCAACCAAACATGTCAAATAAATTAACTTTAATTTTATTGTTTGAATAAACTATCTGTCTGATTGCCCCATCACTTTTGACCTAAGCTTCAACGATACAACGTACATAAACTCAATTCAAATCTGATTTATCCCCACGTGAACACTAGATCCTTGAACTTGCAAATACTTCTAACCTTTTCTTCTGATAAAGCTGGTGCTCTTTCCTCGTTTGAAACTCTCTGCCCAGTTTATCCTAAATTTGTCCCGAAGAGGACATAGAACGTTATCATTTCCTGTCTCGTACCGTCATCTCCCAATGAAAAGTGTTCTTTAATTTCTTGTCCGTGAAGCCGATATACCAGGAGAAACTACGGCAATACTGTCCGTGCTATAAAAACGACCGTGAAACATGACGCCTGGAGCACCTGTGGTGCTTTGACAGGGTTGCCATGTTGGGGGATCTTCCCCAAATTTGGAGGATTTCCACAATCTTTTGGGGATATACTGTTCTGGTTTAAATCACACGTTTCGCAGATGGAAAGCACTCCTGCGCTCTTTGAACCAAACATACCCCTTTCCATTAATTACCTTTGATTTGGGTATTTTTTTTGAAAATTAGCAATTCTGACAGATTCAAAAATTCTGTCCAACCCTTTCGGCAATGCTATGCTTTGACAGACACTTTCCTAAGAGTCTAAGGTCAGCCCACTTCAATTTGCATGTTTCTGTTTTTTGATAAAACCTTAATGATAAATAATTGTAGAATAGATTACCTGGCAGAGGCAATGCTCCTGTAATATGCTCTAGTATTATTTATCATTCATCAAAATTAGGTGTAAAAAACAGATACATGCAGGTAGGTTCAAGTGGCCGGACTAGGGATGCAACGATATATCGGAAAACCGATAAATATCGATATATCGACAACTAAAAATATCGATATTTATCGATATCGACGATACAAGAGATTAAAAATGCAGAATATACAAAAGGAGAAAAGTGTTCATATGGCGGATCTGTCAAAGCACAGCGTCGCCAAATGTGTTAGACACATTTTCCCCCAAAAAAAATCCACCAATCACAGTTAATTATGGAAAGGGGTAGTTTTGCTTCAAAGAGTGGGGGGATGCTTTCTATGCGCGAAACGAGTGATCTCCCCCAGAACATGATATCCTCAAAAAATTCCCCACGACTGAGGAAAAAACCTACAACATGGCAGCGCTGTCAAAGCACCACTGGTACTCCAGGCGTCAAATTTGAGGTCATTTTACAGCACGAGCAGCATTGGCCGTAGTTTTTCGTGGTGTGCACGCTCAATGAGAAAAAACACGAGAAAGCTGGCTGCAAAGCATGGTTGCTCGCAAAGCTGTGAAATGAGACACTGTTGCCAGTTGACTACACTAGAACGAGCTCGTCCAGTTCGTGCGATATTTTGCATTAACTAATTCAAAGCACGCACCAAAAGAACATAAACATAACAGTGCAACACCAGTTTCGCCAAAAGAAAACCCTATTCTACTCTCTTATCGATAACGCGTTAGTGTTTGCTCTGACGAGGAATAAAAGGGATCTGAATAGAATGTCCTGTCACAGCTCCTCAGGCCCATTTTAATTATCGTGCAACTGTTGCATTAACCTTTGATTGTAAGCTTCGTAAAAGTCGATCGCTTTTGAGGGCGCTGAAGGTGGTGGACACGGTGTAGTTGTCGGCGTTGAGGTATCCACGGAAGGTGGTCTACTTGGGAGAGGTAGGGGCGGATAAAACTCTGGAGGAGGTCGGAGGGAGGTTTTAGGCGGGTACTGTTGCTGGTATGATCCTTGCAGATGATATGGAGCTTGTTGGTGATACGCTGGGCCCATGCCCGGGTTGTCCTGCAAATAAAAATAGAAAATGATAGAAAAAGTATTCTGATTTGGTTTTTTGCATGTTGGCCGGCCCAAAATTGCGTCTAAAATTTTTTTTAACAATTTTTTCAAATTCCTTAAATTATTTTTATGTCCATAACAAGTTTTTTTAGATTTTTTCGGCAGTGACGGAAAAAAGTTATAAAGATTTATATATATATATATATATATATATATATATATATGGCAATAATTTTTGTGTCACTACTTTGGCTACTTCTACTAATTCCGGTGGAGTCAAAGAAAACTCGGAATCATACATTTTTTACTTTATAATATCAAAAATAACTTCTAAACGACCAAGTTCATATTTTTTAAATCAAATCTCAAAATTAAATTGACAGCTATTTAATTACTTTAAAAGTTGCCTTAGCAGCGCAGGTCTAATTGTCGCTATAAGTACAACATAGCAGACTAATTTCAAAATTCAAATTTCACATCGGTAATTTTCTTTATTGTAATAATATAATTTTTCAATATTAAATCGTCGTTTTTCCCGTCACAGATAAAAATTTTGTATTATACGACGCGAAGAGAAAAAACGGAAGACCTGGTAACACTGCGTTCAATGTATATTCTGCGACATCTCCGCCGCGACCAGCAGCTTCTCGTATGCTGTGTGCCGCATCTACATCAGCAGAGGAAAAATAACTTCCTAAGCATCTCAAAATGACAGATCGCTTCGATGAAACGAACAAATGTCGTCCACCACATAGGCGTCTCGTCACTGATGGGAGTATTTTTTGCATAAACTTTTCACTGAGGTACAGCTTACTTGTGATCTGAACTGCATCCTGCTCCATAGCATTTGCATCATCCAAGGTTGCATGGGATTATAGTCAGGATAACCGTAGCTTGGTGCTGGACAGCGGGGACCGTACCTATAGAAACAGTAATATATACACTACTGGCTTTTGGATTGGTGGTTAGTGAATCTCAACTTCTAAACGAAAGACCAAATCGAAATGAAAAAATCTTAATATGCAAGAATATTTATTACAACATTAACGAATTTTATTATTTTGGGGCCACTCCGCAAATATACTGTTAAAAAAATAAGAGGGCGTGAATTACGAGAGGCAAATTTGACGATTTTCTCAAACCGCCTCTCCTGCCCTGGTGAGTTGTCGTGAGGTTTGGTTCAACCCCTCCCTCCGTCCCTAACTACACTTGAAATTTTTCAAAATATCTATTTTTACTGTAAATGTGGATTTATTTCAAAAAACATAATTAGTCTCATTATTTTTATTTAAGATTAGTTGACAGTATATGAGCAAGATAAATATTAATGAGTCACATTTTGCAATATTTTAATCAAGAAGCATGTTTTGCTTTAAACCATTTTTTTGAAATCGTACACACGCGGGAAACAATACGTGATATTCACCTAAACGCCCCCATGTCAGACTGGGTGAGATTCGACTAGAAATATCAAAACTACACTACTCAGAAAAATTAAAGGAGCAAGAAAAAATCGAAATATTTCAGTGACTTTTGTAGAAAATGATGGTATCTAGACTTTGGGCCAAAAAGAGTCAAAAAAGGTTACTTTTGCTTTGTTTTGGAAAATCGACTACCTTTTTACAATTGCTAATGAAAATGGTAACGTTTTTAGTTTTTTTATACCTCAATGTACACGATGGCAGATCGATCCAGGGTACGGTTTCTCAGGACCGATTGGTCAACATTTGAAAGAAATCAAAAGAGCAAATTTTTTGTATCAAAACAACCGGCACGAGTATTATGTAAAAAACGTCAAAAAACATATAAAATGTCATCTTGCAGAATAGGTTGTTTGCTAGGGTGCAAAAACATCATTCCACGTTTGCTCACTAGGCTCGTTGTGAACGTCCATCTGTGGAGGATCGGCTCTACTACACGCATTGTTGGTTGCATATGTTTTGTGAAGCCAAGTAGTCTGTAGCTTTCATCTCTAAGAAGAAAGTTCTGGATGATTATGTGTATTTGTCTGCATGTGTAAAAATCAGTGATATTTGCTGTGTGAGAAAATCATTACTGAATATGATGCCAATATATTTTATATGTTGTCCTTTCTGAAGACAGGTTATGTTCAAGTGATAATTTTTTTACGTTTTTTTGTGTTTTCAAAACCTTTGAGGACGACCAGAATGAGTAAGATCGGACACTGAATTTGCATCATTTTCAAATGTTGACCATCGGTAATGAGAAGCCATACAATGGATCGATCTGCCGTCGTGCAGGGTTATTAAAGGCACATTTAGGTATAAAAAAACCTAAAAGTGACTGTTTTACTCTTTTAAAATCAATACTAAGGAAACAAAAAAAGTTTCCTCAAAGAAGGCAATCAAGTCTTATAGGAGATTTATCCCAGTTCTGTTCTCTGTGCGATCACTGGTTACCGAGATATCAGTGCTCGATGACAAAAGGATCCTTCTGGATATTGAAGCTGAATAAACGGGCTATCTGATCCATATGATGGCATAACAAAAAAATATTCAAGTCCATGGACTAAAAAAAAAAATGCAAAAATTTTGGAAAAAAATCCTTGCGATATTTGTTAGAATTGCATGAGAACCGTTGCTCCTAAAATTTTTCGACTGAAAAACCTGAAAACTAGAATCTTGTAGCTCTCTAATGCGATTTTTAAAGTCTAAATACAACCATTTTTCGCCGGAATACCGCTTTTTTCTCTTTGCTTGGCTATGTCGCTTTTTTATTTTCTATCCTTCGGTTTATCTTTAATTTAGATTTATCTTATAACTGTAAGACAATAAAGGCTATTTGTTCATTTATTTTTGAGTTTTTGACTTACCCAAATGGAGCACAATCTGAAGCAGTCGACCAAGGTTGATAACCTCCATAATGTTGGGGTGGCTGGTAACTCCCATAAGGTAAACTGGGAGGGATGGGAGGACCCTGATGCGGAATGAGAGGCCCAGTTGCGTTCTCGCTTGTCTGGATGGCACAACCACAACTTTTTTCCGGTGTTGCCGTCGACGCCTATACAAACAGAATCGAATAAACATTACGGAGAATAAGCAAAAATATACTAAGTGACATGCGAGTAGGTATAAAATTCAACACCCAAAATTACTAAATTGAATTATGATAAAAACTTGTAAGCATATTTGTAAAAGCTTTTCTTGTCATATCAGGATCCGAACAATATGAACATGTTTACTTAATGTTCAATGATTTTTCTGTGTAATGGTTCCATTTGTTTCATTGTTGTTTCATTGCATTATCATGCCTAGAGTTCGCAGACGCTGTAATTTCACTCAACTTTCCCGAGTTTAAGAGGGGCCGGATAATCGGGTTACGTGAAGCCGGATTTTCTTTTAGAGAAATCGCTAATCAAGTGAATCGAAACGAAGCTACTGTTATGAGACGTTATCGAGAGTGGTTCCAAAAAGGCCGAAATCGACGAGTTAGAGATACTGGACAGGTTGGAGGAAGACATTTTGAAGCATTGTTGTGATGATATCATGTACAAAAGGCAACAATTAAATGCATTAAATCCTATTTAGGCAATTCATCGTCTTCCTAAATTTTAACGCGTTATAGGGCCCTAGTGCTGTAGTAACACTTGTCCGGTTATGGGTCCCTATACCTAAATGTTTTCTACTGTTACACTGAATAAGCCCTACAAGTTTGATCCCATAGTTCTGAAACACCCTGTATACTGAAACGTAGCTACACTTACCTGTGAAGTATCCGTAGCATTGGTTATTGAAACAGATTCCACCAATCGCACAACATCGTTATCACTGCTCAACCACCGCTGTTCAATAGTGACCTCTTTGTTTTCATCCATCCATTTTTGTTCAACCGTAACTTCCTCAACGCAACTTTCATAAGAGGTAGACTCACTACTATTATTAGATGATGGTCGAGAACCTTTGTAAATGAATAAACTTAATAAATTGAACAAGCTATAATAGGGAATATGCACGCATTTTTTGTGTTTCCTGTCGATTATTAACATTAATACTGGGTGCGCCATCTATTACTTTTTTTACCTATAAGTTTATGTGTTACCATGTGAGTCAAAAGTCATGTGGTATGCATAAATGAACTGTCAAAGGTATGCCATTTATCATGGATTCGTTTACAACACAACAACGCATTTTGGTTATCCAAACTTATTACGAAAACGGTCGAAATATAAGAAATACTTTTCGCAAACTTCGCACTACCTTTGGCCGACATGGACGCCCTACAGAGCCTGGAATTCGTTGGATTGTTAGTCGTTTTGAGGAAACTGATTCAGCTGAACTTAGCCGCAGTGAGTAAAAGTCCAACCACCTAGAATAGGCACCGTCCGCAACAATTGGGAATTAGTGAAACCACTTTACGCCTGATTTTACACATTGATTTACACCTCCATCCATACAAAAACCAACTAACACAAGAATTGAAGCCAGCAGACGATCAACAGCGGCGTGTTTTTGTTAATTGGATGCTGGAAAGAGAAGACGGATTTTCGGCCAAAGTACTCTTTTCTGGTGAGGCTCATTTTCACCTCAATAAGCAAAATTACAGATTCTGGGGGGCTGAAAATCCACACCAATATCATGAACAACCTCTCCATCCTGAAAAAGTGACTGTTTGGTGCGGATTATGGGCTGGTGGCATCGTTGGACCATTCTTGTTTGAAGATGCCGAAGAAAAGGCCATTACCGTCAACGGGGAACGTTATCGCGGAATGTTAACAGACTTTTTGTGGCCACAATTGGATCGTATTGGTGCCGACTATCTTTGGTTTCATCAAGATGGCGCAACGGCTCACACATCTCGCCAAACAATCACCTTATTGCACACGAAATTTCAAGACCGCATAATTTCACGAAATTCAGATGCCAGTTGGCCCCCGAGATCGTGCGATTTAACATCTCTTGACTATTTTCATTGGAGATTTTTGAAAAGAAAAGTGTATGCGAATGGTCCCCGGACAATTCAATACCTAAAGCGCAAGCGGACTGAAATTGCTGCCATAAACCCGATTATTCTGGGAAAAGTCATTAAAAATTTTGATGTTCGGATGTTGGCCTGTAAACGAAGCCGCGGTGGTCACATGACTGATTTCACCTCGTAAAAAGCGTGTTGATTTTTCAAATAGAAAAAAGTAATAGATAACGCACCCTGTACAATACCGTAATATACGTATTTCATCCATGGAAATGTCTATATTTACTTGTAATCAAATATTTAAAACTGCAATGCCAACGACGATTTAAGCGACGTCATAGCTCATAACTTGTCATTCTACTGTATTTTGATTAGGTTACTGCCGAGTTTTTGACATACCATGTGATTACAAAGTATTTATAGGTAATATTTAATACTACAAATTATGTTTAAAAACTGGAAACTCAAACTGAAAGGGTGTCTATCACTGACAGTCACAAGTAGCAAGTAGGGACGTCACGAATAACGTTGCATTTCGACATTTTAAATTTACCACGTAAATCACTATATTTTTTCATATTCATATTCATTCAGTTTTTTTTTGTTTTTTGAAATAAATAAACAAAGATATACAGTAATGTAAAAAAGTATATAGACGTCAAGTCGACATTGCCAAAAATTTGAAGCTGAAGCGTAAAGCTGTTTGGGCAATATTGAACAAATATAAACAAAAAGGTATCATGGAAGCCTCTGTGGTCGGCCTTGAAAACTAAATGCTAGATCAGTTAGATTAATAAAAGTAATTTTGTCCAAAGATCCGTTTAAAACCGCAAGACAAATAAAAGCCGAAATCGAGACAAAAGGAATTGTCAGTGTTTGATTGGAGCATCTGTGACTGAAAGAGGGTATGCTTCAGTGACGAATCCAAGTTCAATATGTTTGGATCAGATGGTGTTCATTACGTTAGACGTCCTAGTGGTTGAACCTCAAGTACACTTTACCCACTGTCAAACATGGAGGCGGGTCTGTTATGGTTTGGGGGTGCTTTTCGGGGTTTGGGATGAGACCTTTACATAGAATGGATGGCATTATGGATAAGTTTGTATACACAGACTTACTAAAGCATGTCATGTTACCCTATATGGAAGACAATATGCACTTAAGATCAATCTTCCAGCAAGATAATGACCCGAAGCACAATTCAAATCTCGCAAAGAAATTCTTTCTGGATAAAAAATACCAGTTCTCAAATATCAAGAGACTTCTACAATATATGCCGAGATGATGCCAGCCGGTGATTGATAATAATAGTTATGCTACAAAATATTAACACAAACATGGTTGGTTTTCTATAATTCAATGAACTTTGCTTCTTTTTTCTATAATTGTTTTTCTTTATCTACATATTTTTGTCCTTCATAGTTCCAGTTTTTTTCAATAAATTTTTTATTGAAGGGAGTCTAATGAATTTATTTATGTATATGCTATAACGAATTATGTATAGAGGTTGGTGTATTAATAAAACAAGTTAAAAAAGAAATACAGCACAATATTCATTTGTCTATATACTTTTGTCCATTACTGTAATTAACGTTATCGGGTTATCTTTTAGTCCATGAAGTACTCTCGGAAAAATATGGTTTTTCGGTATTTTGTCATGGTCCATTCTAGAATTTCAATTTTGATTAATACTAATAACAATAATAATTTATTAGATAATTTCTCGTGATTTCACATCTCTAGACATTTTTCTTTTGGGCTAAGTCGTCCCTACAGTTGTAGGGCGCGTTAATGGCCTCCTTGATTGTCATACTGCTTTCTCTCCAAAAATTTCTAGATTACACTTGTCCCGTGTCAGCGTCAGCGCTCTCCTATTGTGAAGATATGTTTTCTTTTTAAATTGTAGGAAATTTCAGGCTGATAAAACATGATATAACTCAAAAGCAAGCACAATTTGATGCAAATAGATGTTTGTGACATAACCTCAAAATAGAGCTGACACGGAGAAGTAGAAAACTATGACAATCAAGGAGGCCATAAAGGTGCCCTACAATTGTAGGGACGACTGACGATACGGGCCTAAATGCACGGAGGTGTCATCAAAAATTGGAATTCCAAGATGAAAGAAAAAGAATTAACTTTGGTAGCCCGACATAGTTCATAGTTTTCAATTTTTATACTCCAAATGAATCACCAATTATTTAAAGTTATACAGAGAAATCCATATACCACTGACGTCGTAATGTGTACGCGACTAAAGCGCGAGTTAGCGTACAATACGTCTATTAGAAAGAGATACAAGTGCTACGTCGCCTAGCAACCCGAGTAAGGAGGCGACGGACGCAGCTGAGGCTTGCCGCGTTGCCAACGTCGCACGTCTAAAGCCGGTCCCAGTCAGTCCTTTCTTCGGCGAATAACGAAGCTTCGTACTTCGGCGAAGCACATACTTCAAGTTCGCGTTGACTTCCAACCACTTCGTATTTCGGGATATAACAAATATTCTGCAAAGCCTCGATTGTAGTTTTAAAATGGACATAGGCGCGGACGAGCAGGTCGCTGTTGCTGCAGCTTCCATAATCATGTGCTGTTATTTTTTAAATGAAACAAGTTTAAACGTCGAAAAAGAAGGTGGTGGATGCTATCTTTAAATAAAAGTCGTCAAGTTAAAATGTTTCACTCATTTCCGGCGGTCTGTCTGTCTGTCTGTCCGGTAATCCTTAGCCCCTCTATAACTCGGAAAGTACTACTCGAAAGTTGATAAAATTTTGACCGCAGTTTAGTACTATAGCAGGGATGCATTGTAGTTTTATGGTTTTAAACAATCGGTGCAGTTGCGGCTGTTATCGTCAAAAAACTAAAAAAAAATGAAAAGCGCTCAAACTCTGTTTTTGGATGTTTTCGGGGCTCCTGATCACTTTCCAACAATTTTTTGTAGGTGTAGATAAATAATCGGTGGTGGGAGCAGGTTGGAGAAGGGGGTATCTCTTATATTCTGTCCGTGACACCGCTCATCAAAGCGCGGGAAGTATAGAATCAATCTACTTGACGCCATTTTTTAAAGTAGGTTTTACTTTCAACTTTTTAAGGTACGACGAGGATAAACAGTGTATCAAAAATTTTCCAAAAATTAATTCACTAGATCTTTGTTCCACTCCATTACTACTCGCTCAAACACAAATTGATACTGCACTGATCAGACTAAATGTAACGAAGGAGCAGCTTTTACCGCCAATCAGCGAGAAAAAGTTCGTACTACCACGAACTGCGAAGGCGAAGCGAAGCAACTCTCCCACACGGTCCACGAAGTTAGGCGAATACGGAATGTTCGGCGTAGCTCGTAGTGTCTGGGACCGCCTTAACGTTCGTGATATAGGGATTTCTCTGTAGAATTTAAAATAACAAACAAGAGAAACTTACCTACTATGTACGACAAGAACGGGTTATTCGGATTCAGCACCGACGGCCCACTGTCTTCTTCAGATTCTTCATGCATACCAGATAAAAACGGATTTGTGCTCTTACTACCAGTAATACTATGCACTTCATCAACATTTCGTATGTTCTCTTCTACGCCAGGTAAACTAACTACCCCCGAATCCGTGAATTTCGTTTTTTCGGAAACTTCTTGGTCCTCGGGACGACTGCCTGTTAATTCTGCACTATTCACTGTCGATTCAGAACTCTCTTCCTCAATCTCCTCAGATTCACAAACCAACGGTCCAGCGCCATCCTCTTCTGCCTCACATTTTATAATATCTAACTCCCTCATGATATCCTCAGCAAGTGCCAGATCTTGCTGTACTTTTTCTGCAGTTTCTCTCTTCAAGTCCTCCAGCTCCTTGTACATTTTCGAAATATCTTCCGAACCCTCATCTTCTGTAACCTCACTATTCATATCACTGTTTTTGATAAAGTCTGCTATTTCACCCTGAAGTTCTCCGAAGAAAGCCAAGTCCAAGTCTTTCGTTTCGACACAACACATATCGATATAAGTGCTCTTTACGCCTCGTTTCAACTTCTTTTCGTAAAATTCTATCGTTTCCATTATATTTTGTTTTTCATCCGTACGGTCGATGGAATAATATTGCGGGTAACAAAAATGTGTGGGCACGCCACAGTTAAACAAAATGTCCATTTCTTGCGTAGATGGGGCGTATCCCAGTTCTAGTTCCAAAAATGTGGGAAATAGAAGTATGTATTTCACTAATGGCTTAAACGCGCTATCTACATTTGATTTCTGGATGCCCTGAAACAAGTTAAAAGAGAACGTTGGTAAATTTACACTCAGGCTCAAAAACATCTGAAATATACTTTCAGGAATCATTGCACTAATGTATTTGGCCAATATAGTTAGGACTACATTCGTTTGGATGAAAACTGACATTTAATCTGGCTCTGATCCTTTGACCTTTCTCCTGAAAATACTAACATAGCAAAGCACATGTTTGTAGTTGCTACATACAAACAAGTATAACAAATAGATTACGCACTAGCAAATAAAAAGATCAAACTTAATAAACACAATAACTTCTGCTCTATTTCTCTTAATTGGCTAATAAATGAAGTTTCAGCTACCAAGTCAGTCTGGCAGTAAAAAATAAAGATTGAAAGAAAAGATCGAGGTTGAAAAATAAATACCAATAGCAGCAGAAAATAAAATACTCAGTTCATCATGTGATTTCATATATTGGCATAACCAAAGCAGACCAAACTTAATAATATAGTAAAAGTTGAAAAACGCAATATTTGGAACCCAATAATAGACTCTAATTTCTTAATTTTGCAATGTACGTGTGAATGTGAGAAATATTTAATTGTTTCACAGACATAAAATTATCTGCAAAAAAGATGAATTAAAGTTCACAACCTACAGTACTAAATAGCAAATAAAATCAACAATAGGCAGTGGCTGCCTCTCTCACGCTCTTTGTTTGGCCAATAAATAAGGCTATTCTCTTAAACATCAATAATCAACTACTATAAGTTTTATTCCTGCTGGTTGCTGAAACGTCAATAAAGTGATTCATTCCACATCTGTGATTTCATCTCACGATACACATACACTGAAGATAGGATATTGCGCATGTGGGCGGAGCTTCGTGACGTCACTTGGAGAGTTATCGTCTCGTGGTTACCAGCGGCAGGATTGTCGTAACGTGCAGTTCACGTGTACCGTGGTTAATATTATATAGTGCGATTTGATGGTGTTTTTTGGAGGTTTTGTGACTTGTTAAATTAGTTATACATACTCTATATGCCCTGTGATGCTAGTAAATTGATAAAAATGCGGTGTGCTGTTGTGGGATGTAATTCCGACAACCAATCTACACGGAATCCTTGCAAAGACATGAAGTTCCACAGTTTTCTTCAAGACCCAAACCTTAGCAAAAAATGGCTACATAATACAAAAAGAAAAATCAAAGTCAATGTAAAAAGCGTTAGGGTGGCACCTAGACCATGTACATCTGTTGATGGGGAAAGCGGAAAAATGCTTACGAAAAAAGGCAAAGGGCTCAACTTATCCCCTAGAGTTTAAGTATAGAATAAGGTCATATATTTTGGGGCGAAACGAAGACGCATACTTAGAGTATTGCAGCGTACAGGGAGAGGATACTCCGTACATTCCACGAACCGCATCATTAACGAATAAACTGAATGCACCTGAAGTATCAGTTGACTATAACGAGGAAGTTTTAAGGGAAGAAATGGATGAGCTCGAGTATGATGGGCTGAAAAATTTGGCCGGCTTTGTTTGCCATAAATTGCAGGATGACAGGTTGAAAAGTTCCTCAAATGAAACTTACTCGTGGATAGACCATCTTAGTGAGAATGGATTATCAAAACCTTCCACAGCTTCCATGAATCAAATTGAGAAGCTTAACAAGGTGTTTACTACATTCAATGGGGACGGAATAGTGACAGACAAGCAAGATTTTATAGGCGAACTTCTGTTGAAAAGCACCAACATTGACTGCCATGAAAAAGCTAAGAAACTATTTTTCAGGTCAAGGATGTTGTTCCGGATTAAACAACTGAGTAAAAGTTAAAAGACCAGAAAAATCGTGGAAGGAAATGGATGGAAAATTGTGGCTTAGACTAAGAAATTGCCACTTATTGTTATACTGCCAGCTTACTGCAAAAAGATGATAACTCCATTTTTCTACTTTTTGAGTTGCGTACATTTTCACACTTGCATGTAGTTAGTACTTAGGATGTTCTGTAAAGTAAGGATGAATAAATGTAGTGCAGTATTAGCGTCATGAGCATGTTAATCCTGCTCCACAGAACATACTAAAATATAGGTAATGTAGAAAAATCTTGTTTTTAGAGTAAAGTGAGGATACACGCTCTATTGTGGAGCTAGAAAGCCGTTTAAGCTATAGCCTGTGAGAAGAAATTACAAGGTTGAAAATCCGCCATTTTGTTTCTATCCAACAACAGCTCATATGTGAAAATCTATCAAGCCGTTTGAGCTGCAGGTGAAAATATGCACGTTTTCCACATTAACCCAAATGATAATCACTCTCCGCGTGACGTCAAGCGCGCCCGCGGACGAAAATCGAACAGCAGAGCACCCGGCACTGATTTCATCTAATGACCAAATCGTTCCATTTACTGATTCGATTGCTGTTTCTTTCATAAAGCCCTTTAATTTTGTTACCTATATCATAGGGGTGACTATGGTAATTATAATCACCATATTGGATTTAGCATGGCAGCACATTGCTAACTGTGTTTCTCTGATCAAGCCGCTTCACGTGTACCCATATGATAGGTGTTACTATGGAAGTGATGAATCGCCATCTTGGATTCAAATAGCGGCAGCTAATTTATTTTTATTTTCACGCGAACCAGAAGTGTGTACAAAATTTCAGCTCAATTGGTTAAGGTTAAATGATTCAGAATTCAGTTCCAAGATTTATCCCACACATACATTCTGACATACTAACATACAAACAGGTCAAGTTATATAAAAGCAAGTTGAGTTTTCAAGAAAAGCAAAGATTTTTTGAAAAGGAAAAGTGATAACAACGAAAGTAATCACTCGTCTCATTCTTCCATAAAAGATGAATATTCACAAACAATTTCAGAGTTGTACCTATATTTGTTAACAAATTCTGATTGAAGAAAAAATAAGATAAATAAAAATAAAATGCACAAAAAAATGAATTTTTTGACAAAAAAAAATGAAAACATTGTTTTTTAGTCATATCTATACACACCATGAAATTATCAGATGAAAAGGATTTAGAATACTGCTGCAAACAGCAAGTTCAAAAAAAAATCTAAAAAAAGGGACGTGCCAGCTGTTCATGTGAAACGGCATTTTCTTGTACCACTTGAAACTTATTCATACAAATAATGATAACATATTTTATATTCCGGTCGACTCTTATGCAAAAAAAAATGTTTAAAATAGTACTTCGACACCTCAAGGACACCATGTTGTTTTTCTTGTGAAGTATGTTGCAACAACAGTTCTATGTGGTTTTTTGCTTTCTTTGGCATTTGGCAACAAGATGTAGGATTCCGAGTAAGCAAAACTATGGTGACCTGCACCACGAACTTCAAGTTCATTTCAAGGTTAAACATATAATTTCAAATGGAACCCCAGATTTGGAAAGAGGACGAAAGCCAACATCTGAATATGACCTTGACGATGAACACAACAATCACCTTCGAGGCCGTTTCACGCTCTGGCAAAAATGTTCGACAGCACACTTATGACCGTGACCATCATCTTGACCATGACCAAAGTTTGAGTCAAAATGTTCAAAGGAACCCATCATTTTAATCCTGGCATTGGAAAAGCAGCAGTTACGTCCGAATGTGTCCTTGACCTCCAAGTCAAGGTCATGTCGATCTTAAATGTTATTTGTAACACAACCCCTTGATTTTTATGCTAAAATTCCAGAGGCCAAAAAATTTTATATTTAAGGTGTAAATGTTTGGCCATAACCGTGAAGGTGATCGTCGAACGTTTTTGCTAGAGAAAATTTTTTTCAACGTCTTGATTTGACCTTGAAATTGCCTCGAAGGTTTACACCATGGCTAAGCTAAGTGTTTGTATAGCACACAGCACAATATGTAAATGGGTACAAACCAGCTTAAACATATGAAACAATACCATATGTTAGTGAACATACACACACTAATCTCCTTGCCACTCTGTCTCACTCAGCCTAGACTTTCGCTTCTCAGCCAACAGCCTAAGAAACACTTTTCTATTGCTCTCCTTAACTGGACGCGTGGTTTCGATTATTACCTGATCGGGGTATGTGGCTAGTCCAAGTTCTACCAATCTTGTGTTGATGCAAAATGGCTTGGATGGATTGGTGACGTCGATCAGGTACACTTCCAGAATTTGTTCCTGAAACGATAAACTTTGTAGTCTGAAATCGGTGAAGAAGACTGATGAAGCTATTATTTCTAGCAGCGTTTGAGTGATGGGGGGCACTTAGCCAATCAACGAATTTAGACTAGATAGATGGAGTCAGTCATGGATTTGTGTGTCTCCTAATTCTCATAGTATGTAGTAAGAATCACAGTGCACTTGACATAAGTAAATTTTCGCGGTTCTGTCATTAATTTCTTATATTTTGTGTTATTTTTTTGAAAAGTGCGAGTGTTTGCAGATAATTGTGGTGTAAGACGATTTCAGGACATGGAACTTCTTACATAGTTTGCAAAGAGAAGCACAAGACCAATGAAGGCAAATTTCCACCACTAGGTTATTTTTATGTTGATACAATGCTGTCACTTTGGCAGGCATTGGTAGACAAATGAATCACTATGCACTAAAACTACACAATTTTGTCGACAAACAACGCATTGTAAATTATAGACTTGGCTCCTAATATTTTCGTATTCGTTGGTCATGATGTATTTATTATACAGGGTGATTCACAAAAACTTTTTTTTTCATATCTTCAAAACCATCAACTGTAATGAACTAAAATTTGGTATGCGGATTTACCTAAGTATTGTCCACATTCAAAAGTCTTTATTTACAATTAACGGGCACAGTGGCGGAGATACAGGTAATTAGTGACATTATTTTTCCAAATATACTAAGTGACATATAAATCCGAACACCCAGTTTAAATGTTTTTATTTTAATAAAATTTTGTACAAGTACTTAATGAAGCATAATAAGTAAATGATAAAAATTTCAATATGATTGCAAGTAGATGTCTTATGGGATTCGG